TCGGAGTGTTCCCGCCGGGCGAACTCCCCGGGAATCCTTCACTGTCTTCTCCATCTCAGGTACTGTCCACTGCCAGGTAGGAGTGACCAGATCACGCTACATCATTTGGCGCCGTCTATGGGAATGCTTCAGAAAGCCTTCCACCAAAACTTTGCAAACTTCAGTTCTCATGGCTTCCTCCAGCAATGCAACACGCAGTGCAGAAATGAACACCGTCGGGGAGCAACTCCATGTCCCAGCGGTGTGTATTGGACAATTCACTATCCCCCTCTCTGCGGATGGAGTTCCCATCTTGAACGTGCCTCAGACAATGGCACCCGTGAACGCTCCGCTCCCTTCCACGGTTGGAACGACCTTCACCGAACCCTCTCTTGTTCCTCTCGTGACCTCTCAAAACCAGCTTGAAGACCTGGTGCAATGCAAGCGAGCCATGCAAGCTCAGATGCAATAGGTCCAGCAGTTTCAACTATATCAGCAGCAAGTGCTGCACCAAGTTTCTCAACACCACTATCAGCAGCAGCTTCCTCCTCGACATCCGGCTGCTCAACAAGTTAGGCCTCGTCGCCAGAACGAGCGTCCTTCTCGCCGGGGGGAGACCTCTCAGACCCAGAATCCTCTCAAGAGTCAAGTCTCATCCCACGGGAAGAAGGAAAGACTAGTTACCCCTGCCTCGCCACGCGCAGTCAAGTCGGAAGGGTCCTAGCCTACCAGGCCTGCATCACCGCAGCTTTCTAAGTTCGTGGCCCCGTTTATGGAGAACCGGCTTGAGGTCTTGGCCGCATACTCCAGGCAAGACCCCTCTATCTGCAGCCATCACCAACAGTCCATCCCCCTCCCCGCGAAAACTGTGCCCGACAATACCGATGCCAGCAGCACCAATGCAGAGCCCGCAAAAAAGCAGCGGAGACGTCGCCGAGCTCGCTGAACTGCAACACACAACCTGCTCGAGCTCAAGGGTAAGGAAGAGGTAAGCTCGGGTGAAATGAAAGCCACTCCGCTCCTCTCTGTACCATCCCCTCTGTCTCTAGAACTCATGGCCGTCCCAATGCCCAAGGACTTCAAACTACCTCCCCTGGACAAAATGACGGATCGTTTGACCCGAATGATCACGTAGACGCCTTTCACTCACAGATGCACTTGGCAAGGGCCAGTGAGTCCTGCATGTGCATAGCTTTCTCCACCACTTTCAAAGGAGTGGCCCGTACATGGTACAAGAACCTTGCGCCCGGATCGATAAGAAGCTGGGCGCAATTCGTGCAAGTCTTCACTTCTCACTTCATCACCAGCAAGCAGCGCCCGAGGACCCAAGAGAGCCTCCTTGGCATAGTCCAGAGGGAAGGAGAATCTATCCGAAGTTACATCAAGAGGTTCAACGACGCTTGTTTGCAGATACCCGACCTAGATCCCGTAGTTCGGCTTACCGCGGCCAAGAGAGGCATCACGCACAAAGACTTCAAGTGGCACGTGGTTGTTAATCGGCCCAAGATGGCAACCGAGTTTCTCAAGCTCGCAGACCAGTTTATAGGGATAGAAGAGGAAATCAACCAGAAGGGTGAGCAGATCCCTGAAAAAAGAAAAAGGGAAGTCGAGTCCTCGACCCAGGGGGACGACAAGAAGAAAAAAGACCTAGCTCGGGGGGCAAGGCCAGGTCAGCCTTTCCGAGCTCCACCAGCAAAGATGACAGACTACATGCCCCTAAACGCGAAGCGGGCCGAGATCCTTACGGCGATCAAGGACGCCCCGTACGTGAAGTGGCCACCTCGACTGAAAGGGGACCCTAATGTAAGGAATAAAAATTTGTATTGTATCTTCCATAAAGATCACGATCATAGTACCGAGAGTTGTAAAAACCTCTGCGATGAGATAGAGGAGCTCATCAGTCGCGGATATTTACGAAATTTTGTACAGAATAATAATAATAATAATAAAGTAGGTCGGCAGGGGGAGCAAAGTAGAGATGCCCCCGAATCCAGCAGACAAGTAGAGCAGCCACAGAGGTAGCCCCCGGAAGAAAGATCAGTTCGGGGGACTATCCATGTGATCGTCGGAGGATCGATCATCGCAGGCTGCACCTCGACTGCAGCTCGGACGTCAGCCCGCGAGGTCGAAAGAGAAGACCAGAACCCCCTGAAGCGGTCAAGAACGGAAGACCCGATCTCCTTCACGGAAGATGATGCGCGCGGGGTCCACTACCCCCACGATGATGCACTCGTCGTGAAGATAAGGATCAACGACTTCGAAGTCAAGCGTGTCCTCGTTGAATCTGGCAACTCAGTGGACATTCTTTTCAAAGCAGCGTTTGACAAGCTCCAGCTCCAAGAAAGCGACCTCAGGCCCGCAAATACTCCCTTGGTGGGCTTCAGCGGAGAGGAAGTCAGGCCCATGGGGAGAATTACTGTACCTGTGGAGGTCGGCACTTGACCTAGCATAGTGAGACTCAACCATGACTTCTTGGTGGTTGCGACTCCCTCCCTATACAATGCCATAATAGGTCGGCCCATCACCCACGCCCTACGTGCGGTGGTCTCCACCTACTATCTGGCGATGAAGTTCCCTTCGGAATTCGGAGTTGGGGTGGCGCGAGGCGATCAGCTTGAGTCTCGCAAGTGCTACGTCGCCGCCCTCAACGGGAAAGCCAAGGTGGCAGACGACCTCGAGCTGGAGCGACCTGCGGAGCTGTGCGAGGAGCGAGCTGCACCTAGAGCGCTGGCGAGCAATTGATGAGGAGGTCCCCGTCCAAACTTCGATAGAGGACCCAACTCGGACACTCCAGATCGGCGCTTCAATCGAGGAGCCTCTGTGATCCCAACTAGTAAGTTTTTTACTTGAAAATTTAGATGTTTTTGCATGGTCCGTGGCAGAGATGCCCGACATAGACCCTAACATCATAACTCACAAGCTGAATACTGATCCTATAGTTAGGCCCGTTAGATAGAAGAAACGCAACTTAGCCCCAGAGCATTGACGAGCAGTTGACGAGGAGGTCGGGAAGCTCTTCGCAACCGACTTTATCAAGGAAGTCCATTACCCGAGCTGGGTGGCCAATCCCGTTCTGGTAAGAAAGGCTAACGGTAAATGGCGCATGTGCGTCGATTATACCGACCTGAACCGAGATTGCCCAAAGGACTACTTCCCACTCCCCAGGATTGACCTTCTGGTGGACGCGACCTCAGGGCATGAGTTGCTGAGTTTCTTAGACGCCTACTCGGGCTACAACCAGATCAAAATGGACCTTGCTGATGAAGAAAAGACAACCTTCATAACTGGAAATTTGAATGAAAAGAGAGAAACCATCTAGCCGAATATGTTTGAAAACAGAGCTGATGGAGGGTGATTTGACCCGACCTCCTAACCAGGTGACACGTGGACATGACTCAGTGTAAGTGACAGCTCTGTATGACAGCTTGGCCAAAACTCGGCGTAATGAGCTCGCTGAAACCCCAGCAAAATAACTCTGTAAGACAGCTCGCTACAGCTCAGGGTAGCTCGCTATTGGAGCCCACTATAAAGGAGTTCGCTACAAGGAAGCTCGCTATTGAATAACTTGGAGCCTTCGAGAAACTTCCTACCCGATAAGACCGTGCTTGTCAAACTGCTCCCACGTCTCTTGTCTGACGGTGCAACACCTACCAGTCCAGAGGATTGCGCCCACGTCTCACGTTAAGCGGCGTGGTACACGCCGGTTCTGCATAACGTCTCTCAACCGACAGGACCGTACACTGCGACGGATACCTGCCCCAATCGAGTCAACCTGGCGAATAACGGCTGTAGCAGAGGATCAAAGGCGGTTACACCCGATTTGACAGAAGATCAGTATATAAAGGTCTCGATCCCCAAGGGACAAGAAAAAAAAAACTTGAACAAGGTGATTTTGCGCTATCTGCACTCTTAGCCCTCTTACTGTTCTCTATAGTTCTCTCTCAGAGTTCTAACTTAAGTATCGAAGTGTTCCCGCCGGGCGAACTCCCCGGGAATCCTTCACTGTCTTTTTCATCTCAGGTACTGTCCACTGCCAGCTAAGAGCCAGGCCACGCCAGTTAGGAGTGACTAGATCGCGCTACATCATGAGCAATACTGTAAAATAATGATCAGAACCCGTGTATATTAAAATATTGTTAAAACAAAGCAATAATGTTAAGACAATGAACCAAAGATCAATGTCAAAATAATGACTGAAACCCGTGTGCATTAAAATACCGTTAAAATCGAGCAATAATGTTAAAACAATGAACAAAATATCAGTGTCAAAATAATGATCGAAAGAGGAAGAATAAGAAATCGGCTAGGGTTGTGTTCACTCACTTGCCTGAATACGTCTGTAAAGAGGAAGAAAAAAATGACAAGGAAAAAATACGAAAACGAAAATGAAAAGAAAAAAAGCTTGTGTCGTGTTCCTCAAAAGCCTTGTGCATTCGTTCCTCTTGTGTTTCTCCTCTTCAAACCGGGAAAATAGAAATTAGGATAATAAAAGAAGGTAAAGAAGTATAATATGTGAATAGGGGTATTTTAGTAAAAATAGAAATAAATTAATATGTCATCATTGATGGAAGGGAGGTTTTTGTCAAATTTTTCAAAAATAGAGAGGAGGTTTTGCTAAAGTGAAATTATAAAGAAAGTTTTTAAGATTATTAGAAACATCAGGGAAAGTTTTTGTATTTTACCCTAAAATAAAACCCAAAACAAAATTAAACAAGTATTTTCATTCTTGTCATTTGCATGGGATGCATTTGTACCAGTGCAAAAAAAATTGCACTGCAACCAAGCACGATCAAATGAAATTAAAAGGTTCTTTATATTTCAATTTCGCTATTGCACCGACTGAATCCGGTTTCTGCCTAGTCCTTGGGGATATTCCATTAAGATGCCCTCATAATTTGTTGTGTTGAATATGATCCCCTTCCCCGAGTTTTTCTCTAGAGCTTTCTTGGATAAGGAGAAACTCTTTTAGGTACCGTATCTCTTCGGTACCATAGGCATTGCCTTTTGTTATTACTCATTAGTGTTCACTGTTCAGTCTTCAGTCTTCACTTTATTAAAGTGTGACTTGCCCAATTATTTCCCACTCTCAGATCTCGTCGTAGTAGAAGCAGATAAGAAAAAAATAGAAGGCAATGGCCATCGGAGGCGACGCTCATCGTCCGTTATTCCTCTTCTCTCTTCTTTTCCTCTCCTTCGTCATTATCGCCCAATCGTCTGTATGTTCTATCTAACTTTCCCCATTTAATATATTTTTCTTGATTATATGATTTCATTCTTCTTACTTCTTCCTTCTCTATCTCTCACTGGTCACCGATCACTGAAACTACTTACAAACATTGCAATTTACTTTAAAGCGTTGATATTGATCTTTTTCTTGGTTTGATTTGATAACTGTATAGGATGACTGTGTGTATACGGTGTACGTCAGAACGGGATCGATCATCAAGGGAGGTACGGACTCGATCATCAGTCTGGAGCTTTACGATGCCAACGGGTGGTCGGTACAGATCTCGAATCTGGAGGCGTGGGGAGGTCTGATGGAGTCGGGCCATAATTACTTCGAGAGGGGGAACCTCGATGTCTTCAGCGGCAGAGGCAGGTGCTTGAACACGCCGGTGTGCGCAATGAACCTCACCTCAGACGGATCCGGCCCACACCACGGTTGGTACTGCAACTATGTGGAGGTGACCTCCACCGGTGCGCACATGGGCTGCGCTCAGCAGCTCTTCACTGTGGAGCAGTGGCTCGCAACCGACACCAATCCCTACGAGCTTACCGCCATCCGGAATTACTGCCCCGACGTCGTCGGTAAGCCCAAGGGAGGTCTCAGTTCCACTGATCAATAAAAAGGGAGATGTGAGGTATCAATGATGTGTTGGTCCAGTCGATGACTTCCATTCCATATTATTACTCGCGAAAAATCTCATCTCTTCTCAGTTATGTAATCGATATTTAGGTCTTTCTTTTTGGGTTAACCAGTGGATCTAAAGTCTTTTCAGTTTTGAATAATTTTAGTGTTTGTGTTTGTACTGTATGTAGTTACTTCATTTTATTTGTTTTTTTCTCATTACGAAGGATTAATTGAGATAATGACGTTGCTCAAAACCAGAGAACGGCAATGAAAGACAAGATCAAGCGATCAGAAAATATCACGTGGTACTGGTAGTAGTGGTCTCGATGGCTTGCCGACTGCGCATCTCTGACATTACTAATACCTGTTTCTAATGGTTGGACGGTTGATGAAATTTTTCGATTAGTACCTATTGCCACTTTGGTCCCTCAATTTTAAAATACGATAATTTAATATCTGAATTTTTAAAATGTGACAATTCATTATCTGTCGCTCACCAGTTGTTAATCAGTCGCTAAGTGACATTTAAAAAGATATAAATGTCTTTTAAATATTATTTAATTTTTTTATCAATCATCTAAGCATTGATAAAAAATTAATAGTGTTAAATACTTGTCTTTTCTATTCAATAAAGTTGGAGTCATTAGAATGTCCACACAAATATGACCCTAATTTTTTTGAATGAAATAGGCAATAATTTGAGATTATTTTTTGGGTAAAATACAAAAACCTCCCCTAAAGTTTTTGACAATCATAAAAACCTCCCGTATAGTTCTTTTTTAGTAAAAACCTCTCTTAGATTTTTAAATAATTTGATAAAAAACTCCCTTATATCAATGACCATGACAGAAAATGTTAAATCGATTAATAATTTTTCTCAAATACTTATTTTACCCTTTTACACATTTATTTGCATCTATTTTTACTGAATTAATACCCTTCTTGGCATGTTATGCTCTTTCCTCTTCTATCGACCTCTTTACCCCTAAACTCCACCGTCCAAAGTACTTATGTTTCATGTCTTACATTTTGTTTGTATTTTTTACATGAACCTTGATCAAAACCATGTAAGCAAAAGCCAAGAGGAGAGTTGTTACTGACAATGGGGATGGTGGAGAAGACATGACCATCCCTGCACAACACCAAACCCATTATTCATCTCTCTTTATTCTTCTCCTTCCTCATCACCGTCCCTATACAGCACTGAATCGCCCCCATACAGCCTGAATCTCCACCGCCAATACAACACCAATGTGACAATCACATTTGGAATACTACTGGATCAATTTCATGTTCTCGAGGTAAAAAGAGAGAGCTGGATTAATTTCATGTTTTCGTTGGAATACAGCACCAAACCGCCCCCACACAGTGGTGGTTCCGATGGCGGTTCACAGCTTGGTGTTGTATAGGGACAGTGAGGAGAAAGAAGAAAATAGAGATCAAAACTAGAACTTAGCTAGCTCCTTGATACCCATCAAAACTAAAACCTTCTTGAGGAATCCCTCTTCAAGCTCAATGAGGCATCTTCAAGCATGATTACCACGAGGGCGCCCTTACCATGAAACACTTCATGATGAAAAGAGATCAGTTTTTTCTTACAACTGCAAATGGGGAAAAAACTATTTTTGATAAGATTTATTAGCAAAAATAGATTTTTAGAAACAACCAAATCAATAGAGGAAAGAAAATCATGCTAGAACCATCCTTCCTCCTCCCAAGAGTTCATTATAATATCCAAATCATCAGTTAAAACAGAGAGATACTTGAACAGAATGATGCCAATCAATCATGAAATATACGATGATGAAATATGAATTTTCTTTTCATGAAACCCACCATTATTAGGCAAAGAAAATTTGAATTGTTAATACTCAAGAGAGCAATAAATCTGGAAAAAAGAAAAATTAAAACAAAAAAAATGAGAAACAAGGGTTTCTTCTTTCGAGTTCATTGAGTACTCATAGGTGAAGGCAACAGACAATGACCCTGTCTTTCAAGCAAGAACACTTAGAAACACAAAGAGGAAAAACCGTCGAATGAAGGGAATCTCTCATTGAACTACTGGCCCTCTACGCACATGCACATACTCCTTTGCCCCAACACCCAAATCCTTAGTATTTGCCTCTACGAAGGGATCAAAGGTAGTAGAAATCTGGATGTCGAGTTCAGAGTCTTCAGACATGAACTTTGGTTGTTGAAAGTGGAGGACTACAAACGAAGCTTCTTTTATGTTCTAATCACAAATACTAAGAGCTTATCTGAATTAGGGTTTTGAAGTTGAAGAAGAAAGAGGTTGACTGGAGAGGAAAAGGGGATAACATGCCAACCGGGGTGTTTTGATAAAAATATATGCAAATAAATTTGTAAATGGTAAAACAGGTATTTAGGAAAAGTGATTAATCGATTTAATGTTTTCCGTCATGGTCATTGACAGAAGGGAGATTTTTGTTAAATTATTTAAAAATTTAAGGGAGGGTTTTGCTGAAGTGAAACTATAGGGGAAGTTTTTATGATTGTCAGAAACTTTAGGGGAGGTTTTTGTATTCTACTCATTTTTTATCAACATTTAGATGGTTGATAAAATTAAATGACACTTTAAGAGCATTTATGTCTTTTTCAAATGTCATTTAATGATAAATTATCTGATTAACAACAGGTACTGAATTATCATGTTTTAAAGTTCAAATATTAAATTGTCAAATTTTAAAATTTGGGGACCAAAATTATACTAAGCACAAAATACAGGATAATGATCGTAAATTTTCTCTAATAATCATGGTTTTTAAAAATGAATTGGTGATCGAACCGGTCAGGGGTTCGATTACCGGTTCGAACGGTCTGACCATTTGACCCAAATGGCCAGCCCATTTTGACAAAAAAATAAAAAATTGGAAAACAGTCAAAACCGTTCGAACGATTAACCAACCGGTTCAGCAGTTTACTGACCAAAATCAACGATTTTGAGGAAAAAAACAATTTTGAAAGAAAACAGAACCGATCAGATGACTGATTCCCGGTTTTTTCGATCCAGTCCTATTTTGAAAACAGTGCTAATAATAAAAAAAAGAGAGTTCAAGTTGGCGCCCCACGAAGAGCCCTCCACAGAAGCCCCATCTCATATGCACATTTCAACATGCATTATTAATTACATTTCCCATATTAGTCATGCAATTACTTTCCTATGTGGCCGCGTGTCGGGTGCTAATGAATTCGAAAAAAAAAAATAAAGAAAGAAATGACAACTTGACAAGGTTGTGGTCTATTTGACAATTTGTCGTTGTACCCTTGAATGCTCATAAATCAGTGTCTAATGTTTTTGGTAGGCAAGCAAATCACAACTTAATGGGAGGCTCTCACTGTGTAATAATTTCGCGGTGAACAAGCAGCTCAAGCCTTTTATTTTGGTTTTCTTTAGAATTTACTTCCCACTTTTCTCAAACAAGTGGCCCTTTAGAGGGTCTAAAATAGAATCACGGTAAATTACATTTACAAGGATCTATCCTTGAGGACCTTTACATTTTTTTTTTTATTATTTTACGGAAGGGTGAGTAATAAGAAAAACGAGGGGTGGTCTGACCCCAATGATATCAAACCTAATTCTCTCAAGCTCCCTCTTGTCGTGATTTGAAAATAAGCACCGTAAAACAACATGATCTCGTACAGTTTCACCATGGAGATTGGGACCCACTATGTATGAGATATGCATGATTTTAATTGATCTCCTCATAGAATGCGCCTCACAGCCATATCCCGCTCTGCATTGGGAATAACTCCCATGAATAATAAATATAAGAAAAAATTTCAATTAATACCTTGTACTTTGGGTCTATTGTCACTTTGGTCCCCAAATTTTAAAACGTGACAATTCAGTACTTAAATTTTTGAAATGTGACAATCTAGTACCTGCTATTAACTAGTTGTTAACTGGTTGTTAAGTGGCATTTGAAAAAGACATAAGTGCCCTTTGAGTGTCATCTAATTATCAATCATCCAAACATTGACAAAAAATTAACAGCCCCAAATCCTTGTCTCTTTTATTCAAGAAAGTTGGGGTCACTAGAATGGACACTCAAACGTGATTCCAACTTTCTCGAATGGAAAAGGCAAGGAGTTGAGACTGTTATTTTTTTATCAACGTTTAGATGGTTGATAAAGAAAATTAAATAACACTTGAAAGGCATTTGTGTCTTTTTCCAATGCCACTTAACAACTAGTTAACAGCTAGTTTATAGCAAGTACTGGATTGCCACGTTTTGAAAGTTTGGGTATTGAATTGTCGCATTTTAAAGTTTGGGGGACCAAAGTGGCGCTAGGCCCAAAGTACAGGTACTAATCGGGAATTTTCCCATTATGTATGAGATATGCATGATGTTAATTGGGATCTCCTCATAGAACGCGCCTCACATCCACATCCCTCTCTACATTGGGAACAACTCCCCATGAGTAATAAATACAAGTAAGGAAGATGTTCCTGATGTAAGGCAGGCCACAACATGCTAGGAGGTTGGTGTGAGGCACACTTTGTGAGGAGCAGATTTGAACTTGCATGATGTTAGAAGGGTATTGTGACGTGTCTTGTTGGTAGGAGATCTGGATTCACTCTTTTGTAATAGAGTTGCTAAAACCAGTGTTTCCGAACCATCGCTCACCTAAATGGTCGGATCGTTCGACTCGAAAATCATTTAGGCAACTGGTTATATTTCACCCTTAACCAATTTTGGGCCAAAAGACATTTACTTAGTTAGAGAACCGCTGACCCAAGTGATTGAATTATTAGTTCATTTGACCTGGACAATGGCTCGTGACTTAATAAAGATGCATGGGATATTAGAGAGGGGAGGAACTAAGACAAGAACGTCATATTTTAGATCACTAGATCCTAGAAGAAGAAGAAGAAGAAGAAGAAGAAGAGAAAAAAAGATTGTAGAGGTTGGAGAAAAATCAGATCTTAGATATGAGATCTACATTTTTATGTCGCCGTCACCATCGTCATTAATGACCAATGAATGCCAGATCCTCCTCCTCTTCCTTCTTCTTCCCTCCTTCCTTCTTTCCTTTCTCTCTCCTTCATTTCTTTCTTTCTCAGTTGACAACCACATAGTCTCTCTTTTCTCATACCGATAAAAGACTTGCTATAAGAAAAACGGTCTTAGGCCTTTGGACCACTGGCTTAGATCTAAGGCGGCGATCATTGGTCTATCGATCGTCTAAGAAGCTGTCGGCCTAGATCAAGACCACCGCCTTAGATAAAAGAAACCATTGCCTTTGGTGGTCGGTCCAAGGTGGTCCAAACTTCATTAATGCGGCGGTCTATTAGAACCATAGGCTTAGTGTTATTAAAGGCGGCATTTTGGACCGCCAGCTTAAGTTTAGTAAAAAATTGTTTGGTTCTTTAGGTGGCGGTTCGAACTGCTGACTTTGGTCCTAGTTGACCGCCACCTTAGGTTTAGTCCAACATCATTTGGTTCCTTAGGCGGTGGTCTGAAGACTCTGAACTGCCGGCTTAGATCCAGATGACCACCGCCTTAGGTCTTGTTTATGGATAATCCAACAGTTTCATGACCGTTGGCTTATATATATATATATATATATATATATATATATATAAATTTTTATGCCAGGTTAATTCTGATATTTGTTGGAACCTACTCTTTTTTATTGATTCATCACTTTAATACTTGCTTAATAAATAATTCATGACAATTTATACATGAAAAAGTTAAGTTAAGCAACTTAAATAAAAAAAAATGCAATTTAAAACAAATATATTAATTAATATCCAAATCAAATTGTTCAAATACAATATCCAATTGACATATAAAAAAATACAAAGACTTGAAAAAATTCAATTTATCAAATAGGATAGCACATCTTCCAATGCAAATCCACTTAGCATAATTGTTAAACCTGTAAATAAAAAAAATATAAATAATTAGAGAATGTAAAGTAAATGAGATAACCGCCAAAAATGTATAAAAACAAGACATTCAAGGAGGCATCCTAATTTAACATTCTCATATCAATAAACGAATTATGCAATTAGTAAATTAACCAAATCAAATCGAAACCTCTTTGGCATGACAGAGTTAATGTAATCAGATTGGAGCACATAAAAGCACATTAGGATGATTGGTTTGGACTAAAAATGTAATATATTCCAAATAATGAATCCAATCTACCCATTTAAAAGTTGTACCATCTGTATCCTTGTGCTAACCTTGAAAACCTTAGAAGCATAACTTATAGATCTATTATATTTTTCTCTTCTTTGGAAGATGTCAATTTGCACACATCGATCATCAATGTTAGTAGCTGAAAGGCTATACCTGAACAAGAAAGGTGATGGAAACAAATTAGATGAATGGCGGCTATTTAAAATAAAAAAAGACTAGAGGACTATTTACAAACCATTGTAATTAAACTTGTTTGTTTAGCATGGATTTAACCAACCTAAAGCAAATAAATAACATTAACCTTAATTCTTTGTTTTTGGAAAAAAATATTAACCTTAGTCATATGGTATAAATAAGCAATTTAGCACTTACAGAGGAGCTTCATAGAGCTCTTGGTGTAAAAAGAGTCTCCAACTCTGCTTAGTTCCTGTGTATAACCATCAACTAAGTAACAAATCAATCAAGCCCTAATGAAATCAAAAGATGAATTTATAGCATGTTCAACAGGATGGTCCTAGTATAAACACAACATACACATCAAACATAAATACCTCGAAGTCTTACCATATAAGAAAAATAAAAACCATACATGAGCCATTCAAGAACGTCTGCTTGCTTCATATGAGAAACCCAATATTCTTGTCTGGAATCTTTTTTATGAGGGAAGAATATATGATTAAGATCAAATTCAATTAGATGGTATAAAAACAATGCCATAGAAAATTACTATGGTTTCCTTGTTCCATGTTTCAACACCTTTGAAAATGTCTTAGTTGAAGTGCTTGTAGCCCACAATGACAAATCAATAATCACAACACCATAATCAATCAAGAATGCATTCAAACTCAAATATGTAGAATTGGAGAAATGCCACTGGAACAACCATTATCTATAAATATGAAGAGGAAAATGAACAGGACTATAACCATCCATTTAGTAAAGATCACATTGAAAATTCTCTAGTGAAATTCCTTTGTTGGCTTTGCTTACTTCCATGCAAATTGAAAATTCTCCAATGAAAGTCCCTTGTTTTGTATTCACAAGGTGAAGGTTTCCAGAGATGTAAATTTAATCATCCAACATTAAGTGGTAAAATCATAAAGAAAAATTCTTGATAAATATAGTATTCATCATCTTATTTCTCATAAAATGAAAGATCCGATTCCCGAAACCCAAATCTCTTGATGAGTTGATGAAGATCCGCTCGCGTATTTGGCATCATCAGAGGCAAGGTACAGTGCGGCATTTGCAATGCCTTCATCCAACTCTTCGGGACCCTGAACCATCTCCACAAGGCGCTGCTCATCAACGCCGTGAAACATCTTGACCATTTAATGCATCACAAACGGGGTCGGAATGGCGAACGGCGAGATGCAATTAACCTGAATGCCATACTTTCACATCTCGGCCACAACTGATTTGACGATCCCAGTGACGCGCCCTTAGAAATGGAGTATTCTGGTGGCGACAACCCACCCATCAACACCGTGACGCTCCCAGTGCAAAGGATGCAGCCAGAATGGCGAGGCATCATGAATCTAGCTGCATGCTTTATCCCGACGACAACACCCTGTACATTGATGCTCATGATCCGGTCAAATTCCGTCATGTCGAGGTCGACGATCCTGGGAGGAGAGTTCCCAACGATCCCGTTGTTGTACATGATGTCAAGACGACCGTGTTTTGAGACGGTAAAATCCACGGCATCGGAGATATCCGATTCTCGTGTAACATCGCAAGAGACGAAGGTCGCATTGGGTCGAAGCTCCACTGCTGCATCTTGGCCAAGTTGGTGTAAGATGTCCGTGATCACTACTTTGGCCCCATTTTTTATGAATTTTGTCGCCATTGCCTTTCAAATGCCTCTCGCTGCTCCGGTGATCAAGGCAACCTTGCCTTTCAACCTGCCGTGACACTGAACGCGTCAGATCAACGATATGAAGAGGTGAATAGACCGACTGCCCACCATCACAATCAGCTTAGAAATTCCGCTCTTCCCCACACATTTTAGGTGCACCCGCCAGCTACACTACACAGACTGGGATCGATAGATACGATTGAAAGGTCCCAATCCAACGGTTGAAGAATACAGGGAGGTGCCATTCCAGCTGGCCACTGATTTCTGGGTCCATGGTTCAATTGTCTGTAGGTGTTTGGCCTCATTCTCTATAGTTGCAGATTTGCAAATTGCATATGATTGATAAAGAAAATTACATGATACTTAAAGGGCATTTATGCTTTTTACAGCCTATCAGAAAATTTGCCTGTATTTAATGAATAATATCATCTTCTGGAGCAGATTTGGCAACTCTTCCTTCTCCCTGACCCCAAGGGCTTTCAATGGATTCCCAAAGGTTCATACCCGAGTCAACACCTTATCCAGTTATTAATATTCCCCATTTAGATGTTAAAACTTGCGTTATTAATCAGATTCGATATTGATTAATAATTATTATTTTATATAAGTGGATGCTTGGAACCGTGGCTGTTTTTCAAAAAAATGGTACCACATCGAATCCACATAGGTGTTTCAACAAATGCTCATGTATGAGTGCATGGAAAACGGTTGACTTATGTGTATTTTATGTGGTGCTTACCTGTCAGCACATACATGAAAAGCGGTGATAAAAATCACCTTACCAAATAGTGTAGTGTTGTTCACTGCCTACGTGGCAGAAGCGTTTTTTTTTTTGTGAAAAACGGATCTTGGAAGCATGCATGTTTTTTCTTGAAAATTAGTCTCAAAAAGCGTCCATGCTTCCAAACACCATGTAAATATGCAACATAATTATATATATACTATATATGATTATATAAAGTTTATTTCATGTTATATACATTTATTAAACCCGTATAAGGTAAAATTAATTAGTTTTTCAAATATATTTTTTTAATAAATACAATAAAGTGGATGTAAATCAAGACGGTGTTTGGAACTGATACTGTTGCTCCAGAAAACGGTGACATATCAACACCATGTTGGAAAAATCGGTGCTCATCCAGAAAACGTCAATATGTTTGGTACCGTTCTCTAAGCCATGCCTTGGAAATTGAGAAGGCGTGGTTTGAAACAATGCTAAATTCGATATTTTCTCATATTAGAGCTCATTGCTGCCAACGAGTACATTATGCGACAGTGGCGTGGACTTCCTGTAATGGGTTTTAGTGCTGAAAACAGATATGGAACACTAGTACCAAATAAAAGTTGTTGCTATTTCTCCAAAAAACATACTACCTTAATGTTTCGAAAAAAAGAAAAAAATATTGTTTTCTCAAAAAATAATGCTTCCAACTCATACATTCGGATGCCAAACATATACCACATCTGAATCAGATATAATGTGACATATCTGATTTTGGATCAAAAAATTTGATAATGAGATTAGATGTGGAATGCGGATGTAGCTGGATGTGGTCTGATTATAGCCTTACTCACCCTTTTCTTTCATGAGCGGGCAGTCATAATGAGTTTAGTTAAAATAATTTTTTTTTTTGATTTCACATAAAAGAAAAAAAATCCTTTTGTTAATCAATAATCATCATTTTAAGAAATCCCTTGAATCTTGTGTAAATTTTAGAAGAATCTACAGGCTAAGATTTCAGAGATGTTAAAATTTCAATTAAAGAACTTGTCTGCACATTTTGCTTCTAATCATCCCTAACCACTCATGATTTATCAACATTATTTGTGGGGAACATCAACTCGACGAGACTAAAGTTGGTTTCTAGAAAAGAATTCTGTTTAAATTAATTGACATTATTAAAGCTAATGGGGTCAACTAAATTTGGAAACAGATATGATAAACTTAATTCCATATTTCCTATTCACTACATGAGACCCATACCATGGAATTGGGGATCAACATTTATAACTAATAAAACATCATGCAGCTCCATAATTCAGTTGATGGCTGTATTAGATGCTATTTAGCCAATAATAACATTCCCATTATCGGTCATCAAAGTGTATATGCCCTACAACCGCTCTAGTCTTTACATGACTTTGTGTGAATGGCTTAAGTGTGGGGCATTATTATTGGTTAAGCATCCAATCAAATACAGCTATTTTGGATACATACGATATTACTTGTTAGAGGAGACTAAAGTAGACCTGGCAATTGGGTTGGGTGGGTCGGGACAAGACTCTTTAGGTTGATTTTGGGTTGGGCCGAAAAATGTTAGACCCTAATCTTAAAAGTTCAGATTAGGGTTGACCCATGGGTCAATTCGGGTCATCCTAAAAAACAACTAAAATTAAAAAATAAAAAGCATGAAAAGTGCCAACATTAAAGAAATTGGGTAAAATACAAAAACCTTCTTTGGAGTTTCTGACAATCATAAAAACCTTTCCTATAGTTTTATTGTAATAAATACCTGTCCTGAACTTTTGAGAAACTCAACAAAAACCTCCATTCCCTCGTTTATCTAGATGGAAAATGTATGCATTTACAAAATTACCCCTCGGGTGTCATTTAAAGAAATCATAAAATACCATATTTGCCTTGAGCAACATCGATCTCCCAATTTCCCTCATTTCTTCTAACGAGTAAGCACAAGCTAGCTACAACCATGGCCATCAAACCACTCTCATTCTAATGAAAGAGCGGATACTCAACTGAATTCGTTCATTTTCATTTGAGCGAATTCTTTCTCCCACTTAAGTCCAACCATCTACTGTCCAAAAGGTATATCGGAATACCTTTATCATTGATGTCACGCATCTGCACTTTCAGAATTTCAGAATCTTCAATCCATTCGGCATCATCTCCATTTAATCTTAGTAAAACAGTGACTTGACGAACTAGAAGATGTCTCCCTTTCTCTTGTTAGAGATCACATGGCAAAGTTATAACAAAAGCATTATCTTTACTCTGGACTTCAAATCTAAAACTTGTATCATGAACAGAGAGGCCAATACTCACCAAACAATGATTCTGATGTAGTTGTATAAACTGTTTGGACCCTAGGAAATTGCTTACCTAGGTGTTGCATAAACATTCAAAATTCTTGTTAGTGTTCAAAGGAATTGATATAGTGGCTAAGAAAGAATGATATGGTTTGGACTTTGAAGCCATTACAGTTTTAGCATCTTCCTTACTCCATTATCTTTCAGAGTTGGAAAAACAATAATAATACAAGGCCATTACTTTTAAGTCAATAGAACACAAATTGATTGATATGAACTCTCAAATTATGCTTGTGCTTTACTGCTTTAGTCTATTTAGTCTATAGAAGAGAAGAAACTATTTATGGTGGGCATGACCTCAGGCAGACGCATACAGAGGAACTTGTGGAGTCCGTGTTTCACATATTTCTCTCCTTCCTCAGTGTTTTTGTAATCAAGTGTGGGTGAGTACGGATTCAACTAGTTAGTCGTTAGGTGAGACATTAGTTCCTGTGTTTACTCAACCTAGGAGAATAAAACAAATGCAAAGAGAAACAGGGTAGTATGGATGTGGCAAAGGAAAACAAGGATGTAGATTTGTTCTCTCGGCAACGGAGTTCAGGAGGAAGCTTGCGGTCATTGACGACGTTTATAATGGCAGAGAGACGACAGGTGAGCATTTTATTTTTGGGCTTGGACAAGCTCACGAGGAAGTGGTTGGGTTTTCCGGCTGGTTCGGTGAGAAAGAAACATATCTAGGTCTGAGTCTGACCTGGCCAATGAGAAAGAGTAACACAAACACAGAGGCTGGCTGGTTCAGCTGGTTCGGCAGAAGCTATGGCGCTAGTGTCGTTGCCGCATAGGTGGTTAGTGACGTTTTTCCATTTGGGTTAGTAACAAAAGGGTAAAATTGGTATTTAAAAAAATTATGCATCAGTTAACGTTTTCTGTCTAGGTCAGTGACGGAAGGGAGGCGTTTGTTGAGTTTCTCAAAAGTTTAGGGGAGGTATTTGCTACAATGAAAGTATAGGGGAGATTTTTATGATTCTCAAAACTTTAGGGGAGGCTTTTGTACTTTATAACCTTAAAATTCCAAAAATAAAATAAAACAATTGAACATTTAAAGAGTAAAGATTAAATAGTAAAAATTAAAGAGTTGAAACTTCTAACAATATATAAATAGTCCCAATTAATCCTAACAATCGGGTCAGCGGGTTAACCCATGACCCAACCCAACCCAACCCATTTTTTCTGGGTTGGGTCGTGTTAGGTCATTATCAAATTCAGATAGCTAAATATGAGACCCTAACCTTGTTTTTTTCATATAGGGTTGGATTGGATTCACAAACTTTTTGCCAAGTCTATTGAAGAGCTTACTAAATGAATTTGTGGATCTAGTTATTTTTCCTATTTTGCAGAGTTTCATTTTTTTAGAAGAAACTCAACATTGTCTCTCTTCATTTTTCAAGAACCTATTTCGACTTCGGATCTCCTACCCACAAGAACCCTTTTACCAAGAAAAAACATGTGAACCCAATATGCACTTCTACTGATTTACGTACTAAGAGATTGATAATAAATGATAAAGCAACTCAATATTCATCATGTATTGTTTTGGGTCGTAAAATTATATGCTCCTCTTGAAGGACAGTGCATGATGCACCAAGTGATCATTGGCATCATTCTTTACAAGAAATGATAGAAATTGAAAATAGTAGAATATTTTTTTTGAGGAAAGTGTTTTTTTTTTTCTTCTTTTGGTTCTCTGCAATTTGACAGCGGGCTACACATAGGAGTGGCAATGAGTCAAGCTTTTCACAAGTTGCTTGAGCACGAGCTTGAGCCTAATTCATTGGCTTGATTAGAACTCAGCTCATGAGGCTCGCGAGCCGGCGAAAATATATATATATATATATATATATGATATTTAATATATATATATAATAAAATTATAGAAAATAATATATATAATAAAAATATTATAATTATTAATTATTATAGTTCTTATTTTTTTTTAA